CACACACACACAGGATCCACCCCCCCACACACACAGGTTCCCACTGCCCCCGGCCCCCACACACGTTCCCCCAGGTGGCCTCCTGTTCTCCACCTGTCTGCCCTGGGAGTTGCCCCCTGCCCCACCCACACTCCCTCAGAGTGCCCTGTCCAGGCAGGGTCAAAGTCTGGGTGAAGTGGACACGTAGGAGCTGCTGCACAATAGCCCTTGAGCTTTGACCTTGTTTAGACAGGAGTCCTTATTTCCCTGTCCGGGAAGCAGAGAATGCGGACTCATGGCCCGGGTTGCTAAGCCCGGGGAAGTCCTGAGTTGAGCACACTGGCAGTTTTCATAAGTCCTTGGGTCCTGCAAGTATTCTGCTATTTTCCTCCTGAGCAATAAAAGTGTGCCAAGGTCAAATTCCCCTTGGCCCTGTGCCAGGGCACAGACCTGGCAGCCCTCGACTCTGCCCTGTGGCAGGTGTCCTCGGCGGCCACATCTGGATGCAGTCTTTAGCTGGGAGGGCCTGAGCGTCTGTCTTCTCCACAGACAGGAAGTCAAGCCCTGGGAGGCGGCAGCGTCCCCACCGCCCTGTGTCTCTGCTCTGCTGCCTCCTGCCTTTTCCTTGTGTAAGTTCAGCTGTGCCCACCTGCCCCTCAGGTCACCTGTGTGGAAGCTGCCAGCACCTTCCCGCCCCCAGGCAGGGACGCCACAGATACAGCTGCCCCCACCCCCCAGCTGAGCTGCACCGGGAGGAGCCTGGGGCTCACCTGACACCCCACCTGTCCTGGGAGGGCCGTGGGCCAGCTGGGGACAGGGGGGCCACTGGCTAACTCCCTGGGAATAGCAGGAGCTGCTGTTGCAGCCCCCTGATAAGTGGGGCGAGCTGGTGTGGTAAGGAGCAGGCTGGCTCTTCTCTTGGCCCCAGGATACTCCCCCCGCTGCTGGTTTTCTGGTAATGCCTGAGCCCTTGCCACCAGGGAACTGAAAACCCTAAGGAGACTCCCAAGTCATCTGGCCCTCCTCACCCAGACTTTGACCCTGCCTGGACACTGAGGGAGTGTGGGCAGGGTAGGGGACAAGTCCCAGGGAAGACGGGTAGATGAGAAAATAAAGCCCAGAGAAGTTGAGCCACTCAACCAAGGGCAAACAGCCTGATCCAGACCCTCCCAGAGCAAGATTTCTGAAAAAAATAATCATGCAAGTTGTTCTCTGGGGGAAAAAAAGTGTTTTTTTGTTTTGTTTTTTAATTTCTGAGATCAGGGGATTTGGGAAATGGCACACTCCCATCCCCCTTCTTCTGTCTGTTCATTCTTCATTTGACAGATATTTGCTCAGTCTGACAGAGGGACCCATTTCAGGGATCTGGTCCAGCCTGGCAAAGTGGAAGTGAGCCCCACAGTGCTCAGGCTCCGGGACCATCGCTGCCCCGCTACCTCGAGCCGCAGGAGCGTTGCTCGAGGCTGGCCGTCCACAGCGCTTTGCTGGCACTCCGGGCTGAGGCACGGCTGCGTCTTAAAACGTCAGCCTGGACAGGAAGGCTGGAAATGGACGGACGCAGGCCGCAGGTGTAGGCTCTGTGCAGGAGAGAAACCGGGAGAGGAGGACGACGTCAGGGACAGCCCTCCAGGAGCCCCGGTCAGGCGGCCACCATCTGTCCTGCAGAGGGAGAGGACGACGCACCCCTCCTAGCAGGGCCCTGCCACACCGGCCCACCCAGCCGCCTCCACCACGCTGACCCCCCCTCGCCCTCCGGCTCCCCGGGGAGAACCCATTCTGTTCTGCAGACTGACGTTCAAATTCCCCCCTGGGCAATCGCGGAAGATCTAGGCAGGATCTTATTTTTTTAATAGGTTTTTTTAATTATGTGGAAAGGGTGGCTCCCTATCAATTAAGTCATGGTTCAACCCGTACAGCTGTCACTGGGGTCGTTAGAGTGAGTGAGTGGGATTGCTGCTGAAACAAGGTCACTTTCCATTAGGGAAACACTCCTAGTCGTCCGTGGGTCACGGCCGTCGCCCAGGAGTGCTGACTGAGTCGCTCCGTCAGCACCACCCACCAGCACCTCCCTCTTGGCAGAGAAGCCAGCAGGGAAGCAAACCACCAAGACGGGCACCTCACTCCTTGGACAGCTGTGCACCCCGGGCCAGGGCCACGCACCCTGAGACGCTGAACACGGACTCCACGGTCGTTAATACTTACCACCAAGTTGCATGTGAACATTTTAAGGAATAAAATCCCATTTCCCCAGAAATACGATTCTAACTCCTGAGACGCTCCGTCTTGGTCTCGTCCGGGTGTCCTCTCCCACAGGTGAGCATCCTGTGCTGACGCCGCAGATTCCGACCCTCCCTCCAAGCTCCCGTCATCCTCCAGGGAGTAGTGAGTGGGAACTCGTACCAGGAGGCACTCAGGATCTCCAAGTCCTGGAGGAAACAGGTGTAAGAAACACTCAGGGTGTTTAGGCACATTGGGTTTAAGGAAAGTAGGTTGTAGGTGATCAGAAGTCATGGAGAACACTAGATTCACAGCGGTTCCCCTGCAGACAGGCAAGAGCGCAAGCTAGGACTCTCACTCAAGGTCATCTGATCAGAGGGTGCCCCGGCTGGTCACAAAGGGACACCCCTTTCTCATCTTCTCCTGACAAATTGCACCCCTCCCAGTTCCAAGCCCAAGGAAAGACGAGCTGACCATCATGTAGTCGCTGCCTGGCTGGGGGGAGGTCCCCACGGTCCCCATGCCTGCATGTTGGGGTCCAGCCTGGGTGGACCCTCCCTGTCCCTATGTGAAGAGCTGGCAGGGACGCAGCACATGCTGACCTTCACACACACACACACTGAACCCGTCGTGTCCCCACCCCACATGCTGCCAAAGCCACCGAGCCCCACTCCCCCGGGGCAGCAGCTTACCGGACACACACAGACCAGAGGAGGTGCGCCTCTCCCTCAGCCGGGCAGTCCCCCGGGCTGCTGACATCACAAAGGTGTCAACTGGCAACCTCACTGTCATGTGGCTCTCCCCTGGCTCCCCTTCACTTGCAAACGCAGGGAAAGGGTGAGACCTTTCAGAGCCGCCAAGTGGGCCAGCTTCCAGCAGCAGGCTGGGGCCGAGAGCCGCCGCGCTGGGCGGCAGGGCACCGGGCCTCGCATTTCAACTTCTGCTCAGCTCTCCTGTAATGGAAAATTGCTTCGCACAAAGCTAGAGTGTTACAGTTCCTTCCAGCATCCCTCCCCCACCCGCCCGGGGCAGCCTTCAGATCAGAGGACGGAGGGAGCCCAGGAAGTGGAACAAGGGCAGTCCTGGCTTCTTACTATGTCCCTGGCTTCGGGCGCGGGCCCCCGGTGGTTGCTCTTTTCCTTCGGAATGGGGCTGGTATCGGGGTCAAAGTGTCCAAATAACTGTCAGTGTCAAGCCCAGGAAGTGATCTGCACGGGCATGCAGTTAACAGAATACCCCCTCAACATCCCCCTGGACACCCGGAGGCTGTACTTGAACAACAACAAGCTCACTGGCCTGCCAGCCATGCCCCTGGGACTCCTCAGCGACCTGGTCTACTTGGACTGCCAGAACAACCGGATCCGAGAGGTGATGGACTACACCTTCATCGGGGTCTTCAAGCTCATCTACCTTGACCTCAGCTCCAACAACCTGACCTCCATCTCCCCGTTCAGCTTCTCCGTGCTCAGCAACCTGGTGCAGCTGAGCATCGCCAACAACCCCCGTCTGCTGTCTCTCCACAAGTACACCTTCGCCAACACCAGCTCCCTGAGGCACCTGGACCTCAGGAACACCGGCCTGCAGACCCTGGACTACGAGGCCTTCCACCACCTCGCAGTGCTGCGGACCCTGCACCTGAGTGGAAACCCCTGGAAGTGCAACTGCTCCTTCCTGGACTTCGCCATCTACCTCATAGTGTCCCATCTGGACCACCCAGGTGAGCGCTCGTGGGCGTGGGGGAGAAGTGAGGAGGAGCAGCGGCTGGTCCCAGGAAGACGGTCAGGGTGGGCGAGTGCCGGACTGGGGGGCTGAGGCTCAGTGGGCAAGTTCTCAGCAGGAGCCAAGGAGCTGAGCTCTGGTCAGCTTGCCCTCGCTAGTGGGCTGCCCTTGGAAAAGTCCTCACCCCCCTGAGCCTCGGGCTCCTGATTCACAGAGTGGGTACGTTGGTGTCCCCTAATATGCAGGGTTGTATCCTGGTGTGTGTGGAAAGTACCTCGGGGACGCTGCGCCCTTGGTGGACAGTGCTAGTCTGCGTCCCTCAGGGGCTGAGTCTCTCCAGGCTCTGTCGGTCAGCTCCGTCATCATGGGCCACGGAGAGCCCGGTGGGTGCAGGATGCGTAGAAGGAAAGTTCAGCAAGGAAGGAGGGAGGCCTGGGGTGGGGGGGGAGGACGGGAGTGGGCAGAAGAACTCACAAGGCAGCAGCGAGGAAGCAGCTCTGTGCAGATCCATGGGGACGGGTCACAGTGCTCGCTCTCCAGCAGGGAGATCCCGGGCTACAGGGGAGCCTCAGGTCCTAGTGGGAGGTCTCCAAGCGGGCCGTGACCACTCTGCCCTTGCCATGGCCCCTGTGGCTGCCCAGGGCCTCGTACCCCCTCCTTGGGGGCTTCACTCTCCTGTCCTTGTCCTCCACCGTCCTCTCCACCAATAGCACGACAGTCCAGCGAGGTCAGAGCTCCCGAGAAGTGAGAGATAACTACCCACAGGAAGCCTGGAGCCACCCGTAGGAAGTTCCCCCACGTGGCCATGTGTTAGGAATGTCCCTAGCCAAGATGGCAGGCTTCAGAGGACGGGCAGAGGGAGCCCAGGGGGAGGGCAAGTATACCTGGCCCTCCTGCCCTCCAGGACATGTCACCAGATCTGCCGGCCAGGGCCTGGAGTAGCGGAGCAAGTGGGGACTCGGAGGTGAGCATGTTGTGGCCAGGTGCCTGACGCTGCTCCGGACACTCCAGCTTGAGCTGTAGAGTTCACCAGGAGACTCTTCAGACCACCTTCTGAACGGTCAGCCGTTCCCCTGGGCAGGCCGCCTGGCTTCTGTCCACCACCTCCTCCAAGAGCCAGAGACAGTCTCCTACTTCTGCCCACCGCTGTCTATGATGGTTTCTAGAAAGGGTCAGCGTCAGCCTCCTCCCGCAGTCCTGGTAGTTCCTAAAGGGCCCCTGTCGGGAGCCACCTCTCAGCCATGTGAGGACTCCTCTCCCGCCCTCCCCACCATACACACGGGTCTCCAGGGGCCTTCTGCCCTAGCTGGACAGAGCAGAGCCGCTGGCCCCTGGCCCTCCCCAAGCCTGCTGCTTCGGTCCTGCGCACTTCCCCTCTCAGACTGCGTTGTAGGCTGAGCCTTGGAACGTTCCGGTGGGCTACTCTGGCTACTCGACTGGATTCGGTCCATGGCTGAGCAGGTGATAGACCAGGTCTGTTTCCTGATGTTTGCAAGGGAACCAGAAGGGAATGCCCATCTTGCCAAGCTCACAAGTCCACAGGAATAAGGAGTGTGTCTCTCGGGGTCAACAAACCCTCCGTCCCCTGGCCAGGGGACCTGCACAGGCACCGGCAGCTGCTGCCGCTAGGTGGCCCGCGGGACCCCACCAGCCCACTTCATGAAGAAGCACAGCCTCGTGGCCCCAGGCCCCGTGGCTCCCATGCACCATTTTCACGTCTGTAAGACGTCGAGCCCTTGAGAAAAACCCAAGAATAATTTACACTCTACACAGCTTTGCTGCTGGGACGGTTTTCTCACACACCACGTCACATTTCCTTTGAGTGTCACACTGACCCCTAAACTTTGTGCCCTCAGCCTTGGATGAGAAAGTAGACTAGCCCCGAATCACACAGCCAGTAAGTGGCAATAAAGTGACTTGAGATTTCAAATTCAGTTCTTTATTAGAGGCCATGTCCCTGCCACTGTGACAACATGCTGGAGATGATCTTCTGTAAAACAGGGAAGGTTTCTCTGGTCACAGTTTTGGAGGGGTCAGTTCAGTCAGTTGGCCTGCTCTGGGCCTGGGGAGGTGGCGCGGCACAGTGGGAGCGTGTGGCCCAGGGAGCCTCACCTTAGGGCAGCCCAGGACCAAGGGAAAGGAGAGAGCCGGCGTCCCCACTCCCCTCCAAGGACAGCCCCAGGACCCTTTCCTGCCCCCAAGGCCCAGCTCCTACAGGTCCACCACCTCCCAAAAGCACCAGGGGCTGGAGATGGAGCCTTTAACTCATGGCCTCGGGGCCTCGGAGCCAACACAGCAGGGTCTCTCTGTGGAACTAGGCCAGCTGTGAAACCCGGTCACCCTCTTTCCGTCAGTCCGTCCCACAGTGACTGAGTCGCGGTGCGGGCCCCAGCAGGCAGCGCAGGCCCGGCAGCCCAAACGCCACGTCCTCTCCTCCACGGAGGCCCGCACACCCAAGACGGCCTCGCTGGGGAAGACCAGCCACACGGCCTGGCGGGCTGCCACCCACCCGCAGGCCTCAGGGCTCAGTCTCGTGGGCCGCGTGCAGGCTGGCCCCTCCCTCCCCCACATCCAATCCCACACACACATGAACACACGTGCCCACGGCATGGACTCACACCAAGTGCAAAGGCATGCCCCATGTATGCACGCGTGCAAACCATACACATGGCATACAATGTGAGGTACAGGTACACACTCACACACTCACACACGGGCACAGACTGGAACCCAGAGCCAGATGTCCCCGGGGCCTCTCCGGCCCTCCAGCCAGACCTCCACACACGGGAGATCTCATTCCCTTCAACCTCATGGTGCGGCTCCTGGGGAGCGTCCACTCGGGCGCATCCTTGGTGACTCTGACCCTGGTGGTCTGAACGTCTCTTTCACACTGGCTCTCAAAGTGGTGACCTCTGCCTTGTTCTAGAACAGAGCCCACCCCTCTCCCGGTACCCACGTTTCAGGATAGAGGAAGAACCGTTATCAAATGCGCTGAGCAACCTGGCTGTTTACACAGCGAACGCCAACTTAAAATGGCTCCCCTCAGTCGCGGGAGCTAGTGATCCGCAGCACGGGGAGCGCTAACCCGCGAGCGGCCTTGGGGACAGCGCAGTGGCCTGCCGTGTGCGCAGCCCTGGCAGAGCAAGGCAGGGAGAGCGAGCGGCTCCACGCCACCTGTTCCTCTGCTCACTGCCTACTGTGCACCAAGCACATGCTCAGGGGTGTCACGAGCCAGAGTCCTGGGGCTGTGCGGGAGAGTCGCAGAACTCCAGGTCACCACACGCACGTCCCAAGTTCCAGTCAGGCACAGCAGAACGAAACAGAGCAAAAATGACCTGACTGTGCCTAGACACGCACCTGGGCCAGCCTCCGCTACAGCCGTGGAGGACGGCCATGCACGGGCAGCCGAGCCCAGGGCAGGACTGTGGTCCTGCAGGGAAAGATGTGGGTTAGAACTCTGGCCCTGCTGCTCACTACCTGAGAGGACTCGGAGAAGTCACTCGACCTCTCTGAACTTCAGTGTCCTCATCTTTAAGACAGAGATAATAATAGAACCAACCCACCTAGGGCTGTCACAGTGAGAAATGAGTGTTCATGAGCCCCCGTCAGCTGTAGCCTGGCACAGCAGCGGCTCGTGCACAAACAGTGGTGGGACAAGGAGGTCAGGGGACGAGGGAGCCAAGCAGCCGAGTGGCCCCTGGTCAAGCAGGGGACTCACCAAGGCTCAGCAAGCTAGGGACCGAGGACAGCGCGCTCTCCCAGGAGGCAGGACCAGGTGCGGAAGGGGAGCAGCGGGAAATGTGATGTGGGAAGAGTTGGGGGTTAGATGATCATGAACACAGGGGTCCAGACCCAGTCAGCGCTGAGACTCGGGGCTGGACAGCAAGGGGGTGCTCCTGACTCCCCCGGTCTGAGCTCACAGCTCCACCTTTGAAAGTCCCTAATATTTAATGAACGAATAACAAAACTTGTAAAGAACGTCCCACTTCCAGAGGCAGGTAGAGGTGCAGGCGGCCCTGGGAGGTGGGGCAAGACGCCTGTCCCGCTGTGGGGGGCACTGTGACGCGACCTTGAGGGACAGAAGTCTCATGATTTAAGAATACTGAGAAAACCTCCCGACGCTGCCTGCCCCTGAGCCGAAATCACCCATCAGAGGTTCCCCCCTCTGAGTCCCAGAAGGTGTCAAGGTCTTGAAGAGGACCCTATGGAACCTCGGGGAGCCCTGGAAGAACCCAGAAGCCCCCTGGCCTTTATCAGCCCTGCCCACCCCAGGGGGAGGAGCCCGCTCTCGGGACACCTGACCAGCGGAGGGTGATTTGGCAAGAGGGAACCTTGGAGGGACAGAGGCCTTGGAAGGAAAGGGAGAGGGTGGAAAAGACGGGGGGCAACAACATGCCCTGTCCCATGTTGGCCCAGGGCGCCCCCTGCAGAGGGGTGAGAGAAAGTGAATGTTTGGTCCCCCTGTTCCAGCAAGAGGGTACGCTGACACTTGCCCAAATCGGGCAGAGATATGGTGCTGTCGTCGTTGAGGGTCTGAGTCAGAAGAGACCCCCAATGTGCCCTCACCAGATGTGCTGAGAAGAGTCCGTCCCCAGGAGCCACATCCTCACTCTCCCCAGCCAGGGCGGGGCGGGGCGCTCCCTGCGCCAAGCAGCACAGGGTTAAAACACACCCACACATCCATTTCCTTTTTAGCCCAGGTCAGCAAGTAGGGGAACAGATTCCTGGCCAAAGCTGTGATTTTCCAGTCCCTGGTGCCGTCTGAAGGTGAGCGAGGCAGTGAGCGTTCTCTGGCAGGACAGGGTCCGATGCTTCTCAGCAGGCTCTTAAAAGCATCCGCGACTCTGAGCTCCTGGACTTAAGGGATCTGGCTCCCACATCCGTGTCCCTCCATCCCCGAAGTCTGTCCAGCAGATGTTTCTGCACTAGTAGGAACCATTTACATACGTGGCCTCCCAAGCAGCAGCCACTGGCCACATGTGACTATGGTGCTCTTGA